ATGATCGTTGTTTCGGTCTAGTCACAAGCAGAATAGAGGTAGAGAGTGCTGAACTCAACCTTCGCGTTCTGCTTCTCGCTCTCTACTGCTCGCCACTCACGACATCATGTTTCGTCCATGTACTACTAGTGGCGCGATCGATCGATGTTCGACTTCGCTAATTGGCAGCGCTGCATGATTGTTATTTTGATCGCAAACCTTACTATTTCATAATTATGGCAGCGTGAAGGATTCTTTCACTCTCAAAGTGAAAGACGTCTGCTGACGCATACGTTACTGTGTCATGTTTACTGGGACAATTTTCGATACAGCACCTTCACGTCCTTGGTTAGACAGTTTAGACTGTACTCTCCTGGTTGTTTTGGCTGCTGCCTTTTATTCATAAGTTTTCAATTAACACAGCTTGAAAACTTGCATCACCTGGAGACCTGTGGTCCCCGTTTTCTGTGACAAAAAGCTGACCTTCACGAACGACTCGGCGGCAGTGGTTCATGTACGTGTGTCTCTCGGTTTTGCGTTCGGCTCGCTAGCGGCCGCCATCATGTCATCTGCACGGCTGCCTCGGGAAATGGCGTTGATCGTAAAATAATCACCACCTGTAACTACAGAAGTTCCGCAAGATAGTCATTAACGACCAGTGTGATTCTTTAAGGTTTTTATCGATTTGATTCTCGCAGATCAGTTGTAAGCGCACAGTTGTTACGAAGCCAATTTCACAATGTTTTAGCCCCTCACACGTTTGTTCGATCTATGAAATTAGTGATAGTGTGCAGACGCCTGTACAAGTTATAATTTGCTTTGGTCCGTGTTGATCCATTTCAGATATATCTCCTAATTCTAAACTTGATTATGATCTTCTGTCAAAATAGGCCACGTCAAGATAGAAATGAACAAATAAAATCATTTTCACGTCTCCTAGCAAGTTAAAAATATATCTCTTTAATAGCTGGGCTTTTATGACTTTTGTTTAGCAAGTTTTTTAATGCACACCTTTTGCGACTAAGTGTACGGCATTACAGTTATTCTTTGGAACACATCGGCTCATTTGCACCATAGTGTGAGAATGTGTCTGATCATTAGTCTACCTAGAGACATGACCGTGTATGAGGATGGAAGGAATTAGATAAACACAAATTGCTACCACATCAGCATGTGCACATGAAAGTTAATCTTACATCCTACCTCAAAGATCATTAACTTTGGAACTGCTTTTAGTGCGTTTGCACAGCACACTGCTAACGAATTAAACTTTTAAAGAGCAAACCACATTCAGAGACCGTAGAAATGCCGTGTATTTATATTATTTAATATCATTAAACGTAAGTCAGTCGTATAAAGGCACTTTAGGAATATATTAATATTTTACTTCTCAGACTATTATTGTATTATTATTCATACCAATAATTCTAGTCAATTATGCGGCCGACTTCGAACTTTCAAATCTTTCCAGGAGATTTTGAATTCTTCCTTCCTGTCTCTGTTTAATTGGCATTTTTACTGAGTGCACTTTAGTTTAATTCTGACTTTTGACGGAAGTGATAAACATGCTGTATAACTCAGACGCATGTACCAGTCAGTAGTTGCTAGCAGTAGCCTCAGGTCTGGATTTTATTTATTACCCCCTGATTGACGGAAATTTCTTTAAAACTCGATCTTACCTCCTGGCAACTCGTTCTTTGCGTGGAAAGCAGTAAGTATTGAATTTGAATACGCTTTATATGGTGGACATTTATTCACTAGCTAGCACTCAATAAGACCGCTTATAAAAGCGCTTCAACCTTGCACATCTTTAATG